TTGGCACTGGATCAGCTCATCTGTGAGAATGCTGGATTTTTACTCTTTTATTTCAAAATATATTTCCAGGATTGATTGTGTTTCTATTATCTGTTCAGCATATCATAAAGGATGAAAATATTCTGGGATACATAGCTGAGGTTTAGTGAACCAGACTCACTCTACATTTAAACTTTTTTCAGGCTTGGACCACAATTAGAGGCCACCTTTGCTTCTGCCCAATGCTCTTCCATAAGTAAGGCTACTGGTCACTATAATTCCTACCCAGTGTAAACAGAAATAAAATTTTGGTTAAGTACAAAACGTTCTGTTTACTACCAAATGTGGTGAAGAGAGGAAGTGGAAAGGGAGGGTACAGGATATTGAAACACCACATTCTTAACCAAAGACACCAGAATTGTTTAAAGGTTATGCAAAAATCCGAAGGTCTTGCTTCCAAAGAGTTGTGCTAGACAACCAGTGTCAGCAAGGCCACGGCATGTGAAAATGATACTGATTGTTAAAGAGAAACAGTTTAAGATTTACCTTACGGGCAAATATGTTACCTATTTGTTATTGTACCTGCATGTGCAAATAGCTGTGTGCATGCATGGGTGTGGAAACTGCAAATGTCAAATGGGCAAACAAGGATCATGAACTACAAGCTGTGACCTTATGAAATTCAATGTCAAGATGTTCGTGCAAAACTTCCATAAAATGAGGCGATTATGTCACAAGCATATTGTGAGTATGAATTGGGCCTGATTTTTGAAACTTGCGGTTTCTTAAAATTAGGCTCTAAATCCACTTTCGCTCCTAAGAAAGCAGTCTGGTTTTCAGAAGTTCTGAGGCCTTGAAGCTCAGATTTCAATGACATAAAATTGCCAACACTGGAAAACATCATACTTTGTTCATACATAACAATAACCAAACTGCGCCCTTTGTTCTAAGCCTGGTTATCATCTTCAGCTTGGAAACACTACAGCACATTGCATTCTCCAGCTTCAAAATCAAGATCCAGTTAGGTAGATTTGCAAACTGCCCATGGCATTTAGTTTACACATACTCAGATATCCAGATGTTGTATTAATTTTGTATAATTAGAAATAGTTCTTGATTCTGACACAAAAATCCCATTGAAGTCTCTGGGTTAAATTCCTTCCTACTATAATTTAATGTAAACCATTTGGGGCATGGAGAGGATGAACTGGTCCAATGAGTGTTTTGCATATGTGAAGGTTGTAGGTCTGAGCATTTTCAACCCACTGCCTTGCTGGTTCAAAGTATTTCTAGCCCATATTAAAATGGAATCTTATTGAGGATGAAGGAATATAGCTTTGGGGATGTATGTACTGTGCATTCTTTCTACTACATTGTGCTGTTGCATTATAGTGGCCATAGGACCAGATATTTCCCCCTTCCTAGCTCTCTTCTTCTTTCAGCTACTTTGATTCACACGTAGTCTGCTAATGACCCTCTGCTCGAAAGCTGCTACTTCGTATATGCTGTCTTTCCTAATCAAAAGTTGCTTCTTCAGTTTCTTTTTTGAATATAAATGTTAGAATCTGTCTTCAGATTCTCCAGATCAAAAGAATTGCCTGGCAGCAACATCCCCAGATCCCCTGGCTTGCCCACTACCTGCCTATTGCTTGTGAGCTCTGGCTTCTCCCAAGTAAAATGACTGATGGTGTATCCCCAGAGTCCTCACCCTGCTCCCTAAAAGCCTACAGCTTCTTTTTGGGCAGAAGCCATTTTTGGATGGATCTCTTTCTTTCTTTCTCAGTATGATAGAAAACTGAGTATATGGAATGCCCTAGCACCTCATTGTATCAACATTAACATGCCCTGACTTAAATGTGCCCTGTGAATCAGGTAAGGTGTCTCACCGTATGTGAGTATACAGGCAGTCCCCGAGTTACGTACAAGATAGGGACTGTAGGTTTGTTCTTAAGTTGAATCTGTATGTAAGTCGGAACTGGCGTCAGCCGCTGCTGAAACTGACCAGCGGCTGACTACAGGAAGCCCGAGGCAGAGTTGCTCTGCGCTGGGCTTCCTGGAATCAGCCGCTGATCAGTTTCAGCAGCGGCTGACGCCAGTTCCGACTTACATACAGATTCAACTTAAGAAACCCAGGTGTCCCCAAGTCAGCTGCTGCTGAAACTGATCAGCGGCTGATTCCAGGAAGCCCAGCGCAGAGCAACTCTGCCTCGGGCTTCCTGTAGTCAGCCGCTGGTCAGTTTCAGCAGCGGCTGACGCCAGTTCCGACTTACATACAGATTCAACTTAAGAAACCCAGGTGTCCCCAAGTCAGCTGCTGCTGAAACTGATCAGCGGCTGATTCCAGGAAGCCCAGCGCAGAGCAACTCTGCCTCGGGCTTCCTGTAGTCAGCCGCTGGTCAGTTTCAGCAGCGGCTGACGCCAGTTCCGACTTACATACAGATTCAACTTAAGAAACCCAGGTGTCCCCAAGTCAGCTGCTGCTGAAACTGATCAGCGGCTGATTCCAGGAAGCCCAGCGCAGAGCAACTCTGCCTCGGGCTTCCTGTAGTCAGCCGCTGGTCAGTTTCAGCAGCGGCTGACGCCAGTTCCGACTTACATACAGATTCAACTTAAGAAACCCAGGTGTCCCCAAGTCAGCTGCTGCTGAAACTGATCAGCGGCTGATTCCAGGAAGCCCAGCGCAGAGCAACTCTGCCTCGGGCTTCCTGTAGTCAGCCGCTGGTCAGTTTCAGCAGCGGCTGACGCCAGTTCCGACTTACATACAGATTCAACTTAAGAACAAACCTACAGTCCCTATCTTGTACGTAACTCGGGGACTGCCTGTATAGGGTTTGTGCACCTTGAGATCCTCTTTGTTCATACTTTTAAGAGGACTATTGTTCTTGTTAATTTATATCCAGATTCAAATGAGCTCACTACTTCACATGATTTGAATCTTGCACACTGCTGAAACACTAGCCAGAGGGAAAAAATGTTTCTTCCCTGTGCTCCAAGCGGACAGCAACTTTCCAGCAGACCATTGCAAGAAGAGACACAACCAGGATTAAATCGCGGCATGCATACATAAGACGAGAAGTGCTGCATGACAATACAAAGGCCTATCAGCTACATGTAAAAGCATTGTTCTGTGATGCAGCTAACACCCTAGCAATGTGCCACATATCCCAGAATGAGAGGTTTCTTCTTGGCCTGATAAGTAATGTGGCAAGAACTTCACAACAGATCTGAATAAACATGTTATTGTCTTGGGGAAGCATGCACTGACTCGGACTTTCTCTGAAGTTCAGGTGGGTGGTTTAGATCCAGAGTTTTGAACGGGTTTATCTCTAATAATGATATAACATGCACAGCTAATAATAATGGAGTTAAAGAGGGTGAAACTGTGCAGGGCAATCAATATGTTGTATAGGTTGAAACTCTCTTAGCCAGGACTCTAAGGTCCGGCAACATCCCCACGCAGGAGCCCCACATGTGGCTGCGGGAACCCCGAGTGTGGCAGCAGGAGCCCAGTGCAGAGGCTGTGGGGCTGCCCAGTGCAGCAGCAGGAGCTGGGCATGACAGCAGGAGTCTGGTGCGCAGAGGTCACGGGGCTGCCTGCTAGGGGAGTGAGACTGACACGGCAGCGGGACCAGTGAGAGGGGGAAGCCAGCTGGGAGGGAAGCAGTTGGGCCAGGGTTTGAGGGCAGCAGGGGATCCAGAAATGACCACCCTGGTCCAGCAAAATCCCTCATCTGGGATTGGTCAGGTTCTGAGGGTGCCAGACTAGGGAGGTCCAACCTATACTACCGGACACAAATGGTAGTCCAATTGTTCATGAACTGCCTTAGAGACTCACAGAAATATAGAACTGGAAGGGAATCTGTAGGCCATCCTTTCCATCCCTGCACCAAGCCAGGATCAAACATCATCCAGACAATCTCTGCCAAGTGCCTGTCCAAAAACAGAGACAGAGACTCCACAACCTCTCCAGTCAACCTGCGCCAGTGCCCACCTCCTCTTACACGAAGGACATTCCTCCCAATATCTAACCTACATCTCTCTTGATGCAATTTAGGTTCTGTCCTTCAGCTGATCTAGGCTAGGGCATGAAAAGAGAACAAGAGGTTAAAGTCCTGAATAAGACACCGTGTGTTGCAATACAAAACAACCAGGACTAAACAGAAATGTTGGGTGCAAGAATGAGAGCCCACCATAGAGGATATTTAGGAAACTTGTATATCAATCAATTAATACATCTCAGTACACAGCACAGACAATATCCATCGTATTTTACAGCAGTATTTAAAGACCGATACACACATCCTCATGGTGCAAGTGGGCGAAAACGGGCATGTTGATCCCCATCTGGTGTAATGCAAGAGAACTGCAGCTCTGTTTGAATGCCTCAGTGCTGCCATCTAGTGACAAGCAAATGAACAGAAGGAAAATGTACAGAAGTTGTCCATTTATTTTTATTTTATATTTTATATCTACTATAAAGAGTTTGTAGGTCTGTCTGTCCATCTATTTGTTCAAGAACGCCTCCTAAATGTTAAGAGCTGGGCCACCAAATTCAGTATACAGCTTCCTTTATAATAACTTAAAGCAAAGTAAGGGCTTGGTTGTGCCAGGAAAATGGGATGTGCCTGGAATGGGATTGCTTCTCATAAAACCATGCAGAAAAGAGACAGAATCACCAGGCAGGTGAAAGGGGTTGGCTGGGGCATGCCTTCCCCCCCTCCCTTCAGAGCCTCCCATCCCTAGGTGCCCTTCAGGGAAGAGGGGGCTGAAGCTCCTCCACCCCTGCAGTTTGTATGGGAACATTATTGGCTGTTCCCCTGAATCAGGGAGTGAGGAGAAAGTGCACAGTTTGCTGCATTCTTCACTCTGGCTGGGGAGTGCTGTGGGCAGATGAAGCTGGAGCCCGCCTAGCTGGGGGACACGTACCCCACCCCTTGTTGTGTCCGCTGGAGCTTCAGTTGCCATGGAAAGGTGCTTTTTACTAGGCCCCAAGCTGCTGTAGTGACATAGGGCTGGGGCTGTCTTCTCTCCCCAAGGCAGCCTGCAGCCTGAACCCCTCGTACCCAGGTCTACCCCAGAGCAATGATTTAAATGAAACATGAACATTTTCCTTTTATTTTCCAAAAACCAAAAATTAATTGAGTTAAGGACTCGAGAAATGCTGGGTAAATCTTCTAGTTGTGTGTATATATAATCATTTGTAGATTATCACAGTATAGGGGTTCTGCTGTTTTCAAAGTGCTGTTTGCATTAAAAAAAGGGAAGTAAGCCCACTGAAGAATGCAAAAGTGCAGCAGCTTCCTCCCTTATAGGCAGTTCATCTTTTGTTCAGTGTGTGTTCATTTTAGGAGTTTATAATTTTATATAACATTATAGTTACACATTGTCCTACTCATCCGCTTAATCTTCACCCACAGCAAGGTCACATTTAACAACAGTTTGTCCAAACCATGGAAATAGCCACGGGTATTAGGATGGCTCTATGCTGTGCCAACCTCTTCATGGTCCACTTCAAGGAAAAATTTCTGGGGAAATGTGCTAAAATGTGTTAGGGCAGGGAGTTGGGAGTTGTGTGTGGGGGAGCTGAGGGTAAGAGATGTGATTGGCAGCTGCTCCTTGGGGCAAGGTGAGAGCAGCAGGAGCCACACTGGCTGGGCGGCGGTGGTTGCTCCCTGGGGCTGAGGCATTTGCTGCCACCCTGTGGTCATTCTGGGGTATAACTGTCCTTGCGATCATACCTTTCCCTTTCTGTTTGATGAGAAACAATCACATTCCACTCACATCCCATTGTCCTGGCACAACCAAACCCTGACCTTGCTTTAAGTTATGATAAATGTGCATGGCAAATGTTATGCTCCTAGCTCTTACCATTTAGGAGGAGTTCTTGAACAAATGGACTCAGATGGATGGATGGACACACAGACAGAAAGATGCAAACTCTCTCAAATATAAGGTAGATATGTACATTTCTGAAATTCAAGTAAGTGAAAAGAAAATGCAGAAAAATACCTCAGATCAGTGCGTCTTGGAAAAAGCTTTTTCTTTCCATTAAAGTAGACTTCAAATTCATCAACCTTCAGCCTGTGTGCATAGTCAATGTAGGCAGACACTTCTTGACCACGAGAATTTCGGTCACGAATGAAGATTATGGACTGGAAAAAAACAGAGAACTCCAGGAATTAGAAATACAAAAAATACTTTAGTAAAATGCATTTTCATTTGCATCACTGACTTCTTTAATTTTTTCCCTTTTTTATTTGGCATGAAGGAGCTGAAGGCCGTATTTTAAAGTGCTCAGCAATCACAGTTGAGACATATTTTCAGAAGAGCTCAGCTTCCATTGAGGCAACTAACTAGAGACCAGATTTTTAAAAGCACTCAGAATTCATCATTTTACTTACGATAAGACTTTCAAAAGCACTTTAAATGAAGAGAGGCCTTTTTGAAACTCTGGCCCATATTGTATAATGTATAGTACAAGGCTCCACGGAGTAGCTTCCAGAATTAATTAAAATTAGTTAAAGTGAATACAGCATGCCAATCACTAAAAACAGAGTGATAACGTCTATTGAAATATAAATACACTGCCAGTGCATCCAGATCCAAACTCCTCTACAATTTGGAGTGTTAAGATCTAGGATTTTGATCTCACCTAGTATCTAGTGCAGACAAGAATAAAAAAATTAGATGCAGAATAGCACATGAAATTTTTAGTAGCATATGTGTGTTGGTGCTATAGTTTAGTTTGGACAGCTTTGTACATTAAAAGGCAACATATGTATTCAACTCAACTGGGTAAAGTTTTATTTATTTTTTATTTATTTAAAAATATGTTTACCCCACCTCTCTATTTAAAATATTTGAGGTGGCTTATAACATTTTAAAAGCCCAATATATATAAGAAGGGGCATAAAACCATCCACGTTAAATCCACACAGAAGAGTTACTTATTGGCAGTCCTGTATGTCATAGATCTCTCTTTTTCTAGTCTACTATTAGATTCAATGTTATAGCTTCAGTAGGAGGCAAAAACTATCAGCCACCCAAGATCAGTTCTAGTGTACTACCCCATTTCTGGCCTATTAGCAACACAGAATGTTATTGTTAAAGAAAACAGAGTAAAACTGTGTTCCTGAGAGAAAGTGAGAAGGATATAGGTATAAGAAGATAAGATTAACAATATCAAATGTACAAGTCATGCGTTGCTTGCTGTACATTTCCTTCTCCTCTCTCCAGCCATCATGCTTAGATGTTATACCAACCAGTACTCTTCTATGGAGGGTTTATCTAGAATGCAACTAGGAGCTCTGAGCAGTTGAACTCTGATTCCACCATAGAGAAGTCCAATTCGTAGAGACACATTCAAGCCTCCCTCTCACAATCAAATGTTTTTGATCCCCTATCCTTTCTCAGAATTCGTTTTTCCTTTTTCCTTTTGCGATTTGTCATTTTCATCCCAATGGACTGAATGAGGGGAGCTGGGTCAGTGAGGCCCCAATAGGGTTGTATTGGAGGCAGGATTAGGCTGGGTTCAGTGAGAGAAACCTCTTCAGGGAAGAGTAGAAGGAACCACAGAGAGTCTGAAAATGAAAGGAGGATGATTGACAGAACCCTTCCTCGTAGAAAGAACGGAAGGATAGCATGGAGGAAGGTCACCAACAGAAAGCCTGTCACATTGACTGAAGAAAAAGATCTTTCTGGGATTCAGAATGTTCCCAAACACTTTGTCTTGATCCTCCATTCTAATGGAGAAGTCAAAGTGGCAATGGATTAGTGGATAGACCTGTAAATCTAAGGTGAATCCTGGGCCTTCGAGGGAATCCACTCTCATTGGCTTAGTGGGATGACTCATTGGGAGGCCAGAGTCAGGGCACTGAGAAGAGTATCATGGGCTAGCTTCCCTGGGTTTTTCTTCCTTGAAAGGGGAGTTTTTAGTAGGGCTGGAAGACTGAGGCGACTGTTTCCCCACATTTCACAAAATGCAAAAGGAGAATTGGCAGGACAGGAGTGGACTAGGACTTGGTTGATTGATAGTTCTGTCCTCCTGGTTCATACAGGTTATCAGATAGCAGAGATTCACAAGTATGCATTAGATAATATGTTTGGGTTTTTACCCAGGTGATATCTGAGGGTATGTCTACACTAGCTCGTTAGTTCGAGCTAGGTAGGATAATTAGGGCAAGCGGAGTTGCAAATGAAGCCCGGGATTTAAATAACCCGGGCTTCATTTGCATGTTCCCGGGTGCCGCCATTTTTAAATTCCTCTTAGTCCGAACTCCGTGCCCGCGGCTACACGCGGCACGGAGTAGGTAGTTCGAATTAAAGATCCTAATTCAAACTACCATTACTCCCCATGAGGAGTAACAATAGTTCGAATTAGGACCTTTAATTTGAACTACCTAGTCCGTGCCGCGTGTAGCCACGGGCACGGTGTTCGGACTAAGGGGGATTTAAAAATGGCAATGCCCGGAAACATGCAAATGAAGCCCGGGTTATTTAAATCCCGGGCTTCATTTGCAACTCCGCTTGCCCTAATTATCCTACCTAGCGGAAGTTTTGCACATCTGTGAAAAATGGCAGCCTCATCATATCGACAGTTTATAACAAAGATTCCTAATTTTTAACATCACTAAACTGCTGTAACATAATGATTTCTCTGGCAAACCATTGAGTTACACTCACAACGCTTCTCCTTTTCGTTCACACTCAGTTTCCAGACAATATTATGTTAACACACTTCACATCTTTTGTACCCTACACATTTCTAATTGGTAGAGCCAGAAAAACTTTTAATACAAGGATACCTCCAGCTACTTCAGCATAATGCTAATTTCTCCTATCCCCTCCCTAGCACGTTCTGCCATGTGAGAAGCTAACTGAACTGAATTGTATGATAAATAAAAAAAAATCTTTTAAATTGGTGACAAGTACAACTACTCATACTGCATCTGTGATTAGACAGAAGACTAGAAGCTTGTTATAAATATATGAACAATTGATTCATCTCTTTAAAAATTCAGAGGTTACCGTTTTAATAACTTTAATTACATTGGGATGGTCCAATAATAAAAGAAAAAAGTTGGCAGAATGCATGTGCATGTGCTATCTGCACTATAACTATAACTCATAAAGGACGTCTTTCAACTCACTTCTGATTATAAAATTAATTTCCTTAAATAGGTGTTCATATACAATCATCTATAAATCAATACAGATCTACAGTGAAGTCAATAACTGCCCCTATTAATATCCTCAAAACTTCTTTTTTGAACTTCAAACACCCAATCAAAAATATTTAAAAAAGACATTTCCTGTGATAAAGGTACAAAGGATTCCCTCTGAAAACCCAAAGCTTTTGATCCTATCATCTGTCAGCGTTGTTTTTCATTTTTCCTCTTGTGATTCATTTCTAATCACCTATAAAGCTTTCATTCATAATATTATGAATGTGCTTGAAATTTCTTAAGATGTTCTATCACTTTTTAATTTTGCCACACCTTTCCGCCTCAGAGAAGGATTTTTCTAAGTTTATATGTCATTTTTATTAATTGAAATCATCAAGAGCAGATAAAGCTTTTCATGTTAAAATATTTTTTTTAAACCCAGTAAATGTGAAATTTAACACTATCTTTCTACAGTTCTCTTCAGTTTTCTCTACAACTTCTTCGATTAAACATTTTAATGTATCCTGCTGCAAGTAGAAGAAACACAGATATTCATTTACCAGAAATGTACAGTTGCCTCCTGAATAGAGCTGGTTTGGGATTTTTTTGCATTTAAAAGGGTCAGTTCACCAAAACCAAAACTGTTTGTGAGAAAACATCAGTTCTGATTAATCTCTCAATTTGAAAAACTTTGAAAAGAAAAAAAAAGCTTGCAAATTGCGGAAATGAAAAGTTTTCATTTTTTAATAGAGAGACAATTTTTCAAACTGAAGGAACTAAAGTGCTACATTCAACAGTAGAATATGCAGAAACTATTATGTAACTATTGGCCATAGAACCCCAAAACTGCAAAAAAGATGTCAAACTGGAAGCCACGATTATCTTCAAACCCATCAGAAAGGCCCACTTCAGGATTTGTTTGATATACTAAAACATTTTCACAGCCAGCATAATAAAAGATTCGATATTTTTTACTGTTAAGGATGGTGGTTTTGTAACAGCTAATCATTTGCTGAAAAAGAAACAGAAAACTCCCTTCCTACTTCAAAATAGTATTGAAAAGGGCCACTTTAGGTAGGGTAGTTTAGGCCTAAAATATGACCTGGATTACACTGACATCACTATAATTTGTCAGAGATTAACATACAAAGTTTCTCTCTCTTTCTGGGGGTTAACACCAGAATCATCACAGTAAAGAAACACCCCTCACCATTGGTGCAAGTAGATGTGACTCTGCTGAAGTTGATGGAGTTGTGCCTGATTTTTCAGCCATAAAGTTGGAATATGCTTGCATGTTCCTGCAGAAAATCAGCAATGGTTCATTGATTCATGAGGTTCATAACCAGCTTGTTCACGTTCAAGAAGTTTCAGTGAGTTTGGATAAGCATGCCCATTTTGGGGAATATATCTGAATCAAACCCGAACTCCGAACCTTGTCAGAGTCACACACCATTGCATAACCTGGCCTACAAATCTACATATTGACAAATACTGTAAATGATGGGAGAACATTATGCGTCAGGAACAGGTTTAGGGTTGCCAGGTGTCTAGTTGACCAGTCCAAAAGGGATCCTGGTGGCTCTGGTTGGCACTGCTATTCAAAGTCCGGCTGGCAGCAAAGCAGGGGCCTGAGGTGAAGGCAGGCCCCCTATCTGCCTTGGCTGTGCACGGGTCCTAGGAAGTGACTACTAGGTCCCTGCAGCTCCTAAGTGTAGGGAGGCTCTGTCTGTGAGCTCCCCTTATGCCTGTAGGTGCTGCCCCTGCAGCTGCCCTTGCTCCCGGCCAATGGGAGCTGCAGAGCCAGCACTCTGCATCTCTGCCCCTGAGTGCCAGCTCCGCAGCTCTCATTGGCTGGGAAACGCAAGCAATGGGAGTTGCAGGGCTGCACCTGAGGGAGCAAGGGGAGCTCATGGACAGAGCCTCCCTGCACCTAGGAGCTGCAGGGACCTGCTGGCTGCTTCCTGAGACCTACAGTAAGCATTGCTGGG